TCTGAGTACGAAATAATGTCAGTTGAAGGAGACGGCGACCATATGGGGTGCCCTAGGAGGGAGGAAAAGTTCTCCCGCCAAAATTCAAGTTCATCTCTGGCGGTGGGAGGCAACCTGTGGGTAGAGTCCCAAGATGGTGCATTATTGATGAATGAATATAGGCTACGCGTCCAGAGCGGAGACACTGGTCCTAAGGCAAGGCCCATGGACACGATATTGCCTGCAATGCGTGCTACGGAACGGGCGGAGATAGCATCAACATTAGACAGGGCTTCATTCAAGAGGGTAAGGAATGAGTCACAACGACGGTCAAGAACATGAAAGGTGCCGGTCTCCAAGTCAATTATGTAACCCAGCAACTCGCCCACCCTGCGGGGTATCCAGTAGCTCTTGGGCGGGGCTTGATGGGCCATAAGGCCCAACTCGGCCAAGTCCCGCCGCATGATATGAGACATACGTAAACAATCATCGTAAGAATGCCGGGCACCCGACCCGTCATCCAGATACATGAAGCATCTAAAGCCTTGACCTCGCCAATGGGCGACAACTGGGCGCATAAGTTTGGTAAATACAAAGGGTGCCGGGCTCAAACCGAAGGGTAAGCTAGCGAACATGAAGAAGCGCTTCTTCCAGGAAAAGCCTAAATAGGGCATGTGGAGGGGGTTAATGTCAACATGGTGATAACCGTTCATTAGATCAAAGTTGGCAAAAGGGAGGGCGTTGTTAGAGTGGAAAAAATCAACGGCCGACCAGGAAGCCTTGTCGGCCAAAAGTATGTCCCTGTTGCGGGAAGTTAGCTCACCTATAGCTTGGTCCAGGATCTTGTCCTTTTCGTCCGCTGACTTGGACGCACGCGCCTGTTGGAGTTGGCTCTGGATCTTAGTGTTAAAGTTGTGGTTGTACTTGTTGGAATCGTGGCGCCAGGAAATGGCCGGTGATGCGGAAGTTGGGTTGCTGGTAGCACGGATCTCGGATTGGAGGGATTGTATCCTGAGATCCACCGACGATTGTCGCTCTTCTAGGCGGGTGATGGCGGCCAGGATCTGCGCTTGATGGGACTGCTCCAGGTTCTTGTCGGAGGGAGGGGGAATGTCCAGAAAGCGCGGTGGGCCACGGCGTGTCTTGTCTTTGCGAGTGGGATCCTCTGAATCGGAGGAAGAACTGTCGATTTCCTCCGTAGGACGGGGTTTGCTCCCTCCGGCCAGTGCCTCGGAAGCTGTCGAAGACGACCGTGTGGAGGAACGCGGGCTCCGGCGCGACTTGGACTTGGCCTTGGGCATCGTAGCGGGAATGAACGGGGGTCGCTCGAGAACAGAAGAAGAAGCAAGAGGAGCCTAGAAAAAATGCTGCCACACAAGCTAGGTGTGGAAGCACGAATGACCGGGGGAAGGGAGACGGGATGGGGGAATGGGATTAATTAGAGGGGGAGTGGCTACAGTACCATCTGTGCGCCGACAGAAAGTGGAAAATTCTGAATGTTTTAAACAAGGACGAACTTCAGAAGACACATTTCTGTTACAGGTGTTACATGAAAACTTATGTTCTGGCAATTTCTAGTCATGTGCATTGGAACCTCATCTATCCCAGGGTCCAGACATACCTCCTTGGTTTGCCCATCAGCCTCCTGATCTTGGACCACTCCACCCTGCTGAGTTTCCTGGTCTTGAGCTGGGGGAAGGACTCCCGCAGACACACACAGAAGTCATTATCACCTTCAAACAGGGCCCTGCAACACCAGGCAAAGTAGCATTTATTACTAATAATCTACTACATAAGGATTAAGTGTGTTTATTTGTTTACAAAGAGTTTTTCACTAACTGAATCTAATATTTTATCTTATTGCATGGATACTAGGATATTTGGGTGAACTAAGAATAAGACGATAAGCCACAATTGTTCAAAATTTCTTTTTTTTGCTGCATACGAAGTACGAATTTCTTCAACTGTGTTCAGTTTTGGTGATTTCACAAAGAGCAATCTCCCTAACTCTTTAAGTTTAACTAAGTCTAATGTGTTACTGTGATTTTTCCATTTTTAATCAACTTAAATCCCATATGTAGGAAAACACACTTGTCTAAGTTGGAGTAGAACCACTCGTAGATGCACCACTTGTGAGCCTTGGGTAACTTCAGCAGGTTCTTGAGCCTGGAGCCGATTCTCTGGGCAGCCTTCTTGTCTGGCACACTCATGGACGCCTGCGACGAGTTTCTCTGGAGGGGCGGGAAAGGAGGAAGCATTAATATTACAGTAACTGTTTACAGTTTATATCTTGAAATATACACAGTTTTGTTCTTCTGGTGACCTCTCCACCACAAAATCATAACACTGCAAAGATGCCACATTTTTGTGATATAATATTGCTTCTATGGCGAACACAACGAAAACCTTCTTTCTCCTCCTACTGGTACCACAAAACTCAAAAATGCGTTTGGTGTGAGATGATATCGACGGTATAAACTTTTCAATACATTATATAATGCTTATTATGTATTCTTCTACCAACACAGATGAGGTATCATTATAAGTTTAAAAAAAAAAATTTTAGAAGTGGAGGGATTCATTCTATGTAAATACCTGACATTATGCGTAGATTTATAAAAATTAAAGCATTTGATCCAAGATCCTTACCGTATTATGTGATGTTTTGCTCACTTTCCTCGGTGAACGAATCGGTGACAAAGTTGTATCTTCGTCATCGTTGAAAATGAGCCGATTCCTTTTACGTACTCGCGGGGGCTAGATGTAGAATATCAGAAAGAGATTAGGATAGGAATTGAAACTGCTAAAAATCTTAGTATAAACAGGATCTGAACAAACTTAAACATTTCAAGGCTTTCCAAAGGCACATGACTGATTTTCAAAAAGGCACAAATACATCAGCATCAGCTGTATTTCTTCATGTAAAATCATTAATGTCTACATTTCCTGCTCCATAGGATGACACAATGTGACATGTATCAATTTACATGACCACTGAATAATAAAAATGGGTATCAGAATCTTCATACTGAACAGCAGGATAACATTAAAATGCACTCTCTCTACTCAAAAACCTTCATATTTAGGCCACCATTCTCAACATGTGAAGATGTAAAGAATCTTACATTTCCTCTTCGAGGGGGTGTGGCCGGGGTACCATTACTGTTGACCTTCCCTCCACCTGCTATAGAAAAGATAGACAAAACAACTATTCATTTACAAAGTCATAACCTTCTCTGTGATGACATTTTTAATATGTTGCATGGACTTGCCTGTATTTCTAACAAGGAGAGAGTAAGTATAAACAAAATTGTTACCTTAGTGAAACATCATATCTACTAGTATTACATTTACAATCTGTTACCAAATCTATCCAGTTGCTTGAGTAACTTTCATGTGTATCTCAGTCATTGGAGGTCAATGTAACCTACTCTTTACATGCAAGCTAGATTGAAAACGAAGAGAACTAATATATCTTTATTTGCAAAGAGTCAAACTTAATTCTTGGTTTTGTTTAGTACTGAAAATTTAGTTGTGTGAATTTAATGTATGAACATTGTGAAGTACACTACTACTAGTAACGGATTAATAAGATATTCACCTTTGAGGCTTACAAGGGCTTCAGCTGAAGCATCCAGATCAACTGTAAAGAAAGGAAATTGTGTTATGTAAATAATAACAGACTCAGTGATGTGTTTGTTTTTCAAATAGTTTTTTTTTAATCTTGCAAAGCAAAATAATCTGGCTCTACTAACCCACAGAGAAAGTACACTTCTAGTACAGCTAGACCGTCAGTTCAATGCTAAATCTTCACAACATTTAATGTACAAATGATTAAATCAAATTGTTGTACAAAATTATAAGTCACAAGCAAGGGTTCAGAGGTCACATGGGGAAAGCCAAAACCATGATCTTCTGAAACTTATAAGTTTAACAATCTACAGACAAACTCCATCAGAACGTTTGGTAGACAGAAAACAACCACTGTCCAAATCAGAAATCCATTGCTTTATGATTTACTTATCTAGTGACCATGCCTCCTGTCTTTTTCCGTACGTTGTGTGTTTGCACTGAGAGGTTATATTTTGGATGGGGAGGGGGGCATCTGGGGATCAAATTATTTTGAGCACATCTGCAACAACCGGGACAAAATAAACAACCTATGTTTTCACTAATTAAGCTTCTAATCACGTTAATTTTTCTAGGGATAAGCTGAAGAAGACCTAGAAGACTTGATGGACCAGATGTTTTTAACTATGGTACGGCCTACACGTCAGGTCTAAAGTAATTTTTGCGTGCTGGGGCGAGAGCGAGTATATATTTTCCTTGTGACCCTTTGCACAAACACCTCCAATCCTACGTCAATGCGACATCGTCAGCATTGTTAGGAATTTCCTACACTTCATGAGATACAGTAGAAATTATTGGATGGCTCAATATTTGGACATGCTGCCCAAAAGTGGCGAAAGTTTGGGGAAAACTGAAGGACGGTACTTACTTTCCAACGGGTCGTCCGCCATTTTTTCCAGACGCGCCGCCCTTTTTTAAAGAGCAAGCCGACCGTAGTCACGTGATATACGGAAATTACCGATCTTTGCCGAAGACGAATAAGCAAGAAATTATGCTGGAACTTCATGGCATTCCGGCAATAAAAGACTTTTTTCTCTGAGTCAGAGACAATGTCTATCACTATATCAATACTATAGTAAGATTCTAAGAACGATGGAAAGAAAAGTAGCACCTTCGAGGCAGAGTTCCGATTTTCAATTTGGCTCTTTTCTTGTGTGTCTTTTCGCGCTTTTTTTGTGCGCCTTTGGGGACAACCAAGTAACGTTAGGGGTAGGAGGAACAGTATTTGGGTGCAGCTGACAAATTAGTAATGCACAAAATTACCTTCCCGGAGAACTAAAAATTTAGGCTTTGGGCCGACCAAGGTTTTGTCCTTCTTGTATTTTTTTCTGCTTATACTGTTGACTATAGGCCATCTGATGGCTTCAATTGCACGTTATGCAATAACGCCAAACCACTTCTGAAGTGAAATGTGGAGCTCCTGAGCGACGTCCACGGCACCAACACAGGGTAAGCAGCTAGAAATAGCAGAATAACTCATAATGATCAAACGGTCTCTTTCGACCTTTGTCAAGTTGCGCGGGAAGAAGACAAGCATCGCGTCGTCCACTTTTTATATTCCCAAGTTGTCGGGACGGGAGTCTACTCGGTTTCTGAAGTTGAACGGTAAGGCCGAGTTCTGTTAGTTGTTGTTCAACTTTTGCCGCGGGTCATATTGATTGGTCAGTATGACATACCGAGTTGGGTTCAAGCTGTCCGTGCTTGGGAAATTTTCACGGTGGTTAGTTTAGAAAAGATGGATCAGACACTTCAGCTGAGCATTCCTCTATCTCAGTACAGTATATACGGTTGTTTCTGGATTATTGAAAGCTAGCAAGAGGATTTGATACCCGAGCTAGCAGCGTTGAAACCCGGATGGTTGGAGATGCCTATAACATACTTTTAAGTTACAGATGTCAGCCTTATTCATTAATATATTGTGATAAATGTATTTTTTCCGTTTCTGGTAAGAGTTGGTTTCGTATTTTTGAAAAATAAAACTTCAACTCATCACACTCAATTAAACCGTATTTAAATGGTAGACCTTGTGACGATCACCAGGTTAACAAGATTGGGTTCAGTATAGTCAAGGTGGTTTAAAATGTAGTCCCTATTTATTTCTACTTAAAACTCCTTGGTATTGTATCATACAAGGACATTATATCATAGTACTCTGAACGGGTTCTGCCAGCGGACGATAGTTAAAGAGTACCCGATGGTGTGACAATGTATTTGAAAACAATGGTATTGGCACTATTTTGAGTTATTTGATGAAAACAACTACATGTAGTACTCTTTTACATTTTTAGCGTCAAATTGTTTCAGGATTGACTACATGCAGTTTCGTGTATTATAACAACGTGTAACGAAGCCAAGCCACGAACGTTAGGCCATGTTGATTTCATTATATCAAGGACATGTATATAATGTCCTTGATTATATGGATTACATCCGCGCGCGCATGAAGTTTCGTCCGTTTCAACCATGCTGTAAATCATACAAAACTGTTACAAAATTAGCAAATATATACCGTAATGTGCACAAAATAATATTGGAAAACAATATCAATGTCGTAGAATGCCAAAATCAAACGAAAATTATGAAAATGTAAAGAAATTGATGAATTTGAAGCGTAGATTATTCGCCATACCATACCATGTGTCATTTGTTCAACCTTCATGACCATGTAGATTTCAGAATAAAAGCAATTTTTTTTTGCCAAACTTTTTCTTATTCGCACGCTCGCATCGGTTTTGAGGATGTCATCCATATAATCAAATCAACATGGCCTTACATACACTACGTACGCGTGACACATTGGTACTCTGGGTACGAGACTCCAGATTTCACCTTTGACCTGCCATGGTTGTCTGCCTTGCCCTGAGGCAGGAGCTAGGGGGGATAAAAACCATGATGCCGGTTCCGTCCGGTTTAATAGATCTACCTACACCCTCACGGTACAACTCTTAAAAGCCCGTACCTCGATTATTGAAAAGGTGTACACACAAAAGTCACAGGATCATGAAGACACGCGGCGTAGGAACTCGGACGAACGCAAGGTAATGTTTTTTCAGCTCCTGCTGCACACCGTTACCTTTGTTTACAGGTGAGGTTGTACAGGTGTTCTTACCTGTCGTCGTGGCAGGACGTTAAAAAAACGTGCTTCTGCCGGGTGGGCACAGGGGGAGGGGGAGCAGCAAATATAACCAACGAACAGCTAACGTTTAATGTACTGGATGCTGTTTGAAATAACATCTAAATACTACTATGAGATCTAGTCAAGAGATAATTTTTGCCAGAGGAACTAATCTAATAATCTAGCGTAACGTTACAGGTGTTAGTTTATGTGACAGTACTTCAACTCCTCCTGGTTTTCTGCATTTTTTAATAGAACTTTGCAAACGTGCGTGCCCCTCACAGTGATTTTGTACAATGTCACCATTCACAAGGGCTTTCTTTGGAATGTGACTCTTCTAGCCTGCTGCTCATCAGCATTAGGCCACAGCAAGTAAATTTTATGGATAACATCCTCCACAGACTCCAAATCTAATGCAAGCGGGCGAAAAAAACCTACATTTTAAAATTTTGACTCAATCATTGTACAAATGGGAACATGACATATACACGGCCAGCATCACATATCATTGCATTCAAAGTAAGAAACAAAGCATTAATTCAGAGCCTTTTCTTGTCTCCTCTCTTCATATTTATCAGCCATCCACCTTCCGGCATGGCAACAGACATCTTTGCCCATTTTCTGCATGTTGACCACTAGTAATATAAGAAGGCAACAAAATTTCTTGTTTTTTTTTTTTTCAAAATCAGGAGAAAATTAATGCGCGCCCTGATGTCATCCATAAAAATTACTTGCTGTGGCCTTATGTAATGTCAAATATTCCCTCAAGCAATGGTTGATTTAGCCCCGAGTTGAACGCCAGTGTCAGCAAAGAGAATACTGAGATTTACTTCCCCATTACCCTAGCTCAAGAAGTGCAATTATGATTAAACAATCAACTTGTCATGTCATCACGAAAACTGTCATTTACTGACAAGTGAAATTGCCCAATATACATCATTCTGCAAACTTACTTTGGTTTGAACCTAGATTTATAGATAACAGAAGGAATGTCACGTATCACAATAACAATCATCATTAAATATTTACAAGTCCTTGACTATCTTGTCTCTACTCATTGACTTTAAAGACACATATTATCATGGAAGTAGACAAGCTGCAATAAGAGTGGTGCTGTGTGACTAGCTCAAGCTGATTTTTGGCAACCAGTGAGTGAGTTTTGAGAGAAATGGGGCAAGTTTGATTAATTTATGCATCTACTTTAAGTACATGCTTCATTATCTAGACAGTGCATGAATGAGTCAAAACAATTATTATTGCAACTCAAAACAACACATCCTAACAGTCTCAAAATCTGAGGCAAGATCTACATATACCAGTGATCAGTTCTATGATTATGCATTCCAGTGATGCATATGTTTATCCACATTGATAAGTAGTGACAGCTTGCAAAGTGACGTGGCATTTGAAATGATTTTATAACAAAAGCAGCTGATCCAGGGAATTGTGAAGGAATTCTTTTGTCTGAACCATTTACTTTTCAGGGTGTGTCAGCACCAGTGCGAAGCTATTTCCACACAGAATTAAAAGCACTGAGTTCTGTGGTTTAGGATCTGTGTGCATTATGAATCAATGTAATTGCTATATGTTGTTAAAAATTAACTTGTCATAAATTATGACAAGTTAATGTTTAACAACATATAGCAATTACATTAGTAGTTATTTTCAGGAATGTATACATAATATGTACAAACTTGCTGACAGATTTTCATTATCACAATGAATTTATTATGACAGATCAATCAATTATTCACTATATTTAGTATGTTGTTTTCTTTTCTTTCTTGCAGACAAGGATGCGAGTACAGAGGTCAAGGCTCCAGACTACAGTACAGAAATGCAGCACAGACAGAGGAGTATTGTATCGTTGCATGGATCATGCCAACAGTGCACTTAAGTGTAACTGTATGAGATTAAGCAGTGGACCTGAAGATGCCACACTGAGATTATATTGGCTCACAGTCACCACAAATGCCTTAAACTTTAGTTAAAGGAAATCAGTCGGAGCTGAAGTTTGTCTTTTGCCATGGACATTAGTGCGTCTGCACTATGGAGACTCCTGCTCCTGAACTCTCTCGTGTTCGGGGTGGAAATCTGTGCCGCCGCGGGCTTCACCTTCGTGCCGCCGCTGCTGCTGAAGTCAGGGATGGAGGACAGCCAGATGAGCCTGGTGCTGGGCATCGGGCCGTTCATGGCGCTGTTCCTCGTGCCCGCCATCGGAGCGACGTCCGACCAATGTCAGAGCAGTCTGGGAAGAAGACGACCGTTTATTCTCATCTTATCGGCCGGAATTTGCCTCAGCCTCGTCTTTATACCGTACGGAGAACTCCTTGGGAACACCTTGGGCGGTACACCTTATACCATGTTGATTCTCACCGTCGGGGTGGTTCTTCTAGACTGTTGTACACAGGCATGTTTTACGCCAATGGAAGCCTTGCTGGCAGACATATACGGAAACACTGACTTGAGTGAGAGCAGCTTTGTCGTGTACACCTTCATGGTGAGCGCCGGTGGATGTGTTGGATACCTACTCACTGCTATCGACTGGGAAAACTCCTTGCTCGCACTGTTGGTAGGGGGGCAAGAGCAAGCAGTATTTTTACTCCTCTTCCTTCTCTTTGCTGGCTCCCTGTGTGTGACGATATTCACTGCTAAAGAAAAACTCTTGAGGGAAAGTGACAGTCAACTGACCTTAACACCGATCAGACGCTGCAGAATATGTGATTTTGTACCCAAGGCCTGTTTACAGTCAGTGGTTGCCTTCATAAGACTTATACCAAAAGGGCTAACTAGCTCTTTAGATGCACCGTTTGTGTTAAGGAGACT